ATAAGACCTTCCTTGAGGAACTGCAGTGTGCTCTGTCCCAAGTGCCGAATACACAGTCCCAAATACTGATGGGCGATTAGTTTTGATCAATCTGTTCATCAGTTTCTTCGTTTCTCAAAGCATGATTCATTTATCTACCTCAAAAGGAGAAAGATGAGTGACCAGACTGGAGCCTGACCCTGATGATAAAGAGTGGTAATACTACTATATCGGTAAGTCGTGTTTAATCAATTCCCGTAATAAAATTTCCTAATAATCGCAGGCAAACATTACGCCGCTCATTGGTTCATTTATCCATCCCAATATTCACTAACCATACGGGCAAATGAGAATATGGAATAAAATCTACTTTTGCCCAAGCGACGCGCCTGTAAATCAAGTCCTGTCAATCAAGTTGTGTGAAACATGATTGCAGTTCTACCAGCAAGGGTTTTAAAGATCGAATATGCGGAAGAAACTCATTCGGAAGATCAACAATCCATATGCAACAATATAACCACCTCTAGTTACCTACAGCACAGCAAACTCGACTCGGCCGGAAACGCTGAACTGCCACAACAATCGACTACCTTTTTCGTTCACTGTAACTGGCACGGAAAATACTGCACCACACTTGAGCACTGTTCTATTGACTTCCGGAAAGTGGCTAGGAATAAAGAAGTCTTCGCTGCGCACTGGTTGTGCCTTGGTACAGCACGTATGGGGATCGATCATCGGATGATCGTCGTACATGGTCCCTCCGTAACAAGGAGGAAGCGCATTCGGAGATATGCAAGCGTGCAGTTTATCCATCCAATCGTCGCCTGATATGACCCATATCTAAAATAAACCAAGTGAAATTTGGAAAACTGTAAAAAGCACAGTCGAAAATGAATGTTGCCTTTACACCACAGAGCTAGCTTGCATTCAAACAGCCGACAAATAACACTAGAAGTTTTTTAAGAACCGCTCGTACAGCTACCTTGCATGTTTGCTGTATCCCTCAATTTGAGTTCGTGTAGAAGTCACGTTAGACTGGTGTGAATTACAGAGGCTTCTCTATTCACATTAATTCACTGATTTATTTTGTAGC